CGCGCGCTTCCTGTAGAACTCCACCCCCAACCCCTTCCTTCCTTCCTTCCCCCCCTTTGTGTACTACTAATAAATACATGTGAATGAGCATCATTAAGAGAACAGACAAAATATAAGCTGAAGATCTGAAGAAAAATGTACAGGATTGTACCCGGGTACCCCCCTTTTACTCTGCCTCCTTTCATGACGTACAAGTGTGCCGTTAAGGCACATGGGGATGTGGACAGCTGGCGCTCAACCACAATCAACGTGGCCAGACTTGCAGATGAGAGGCACAGTAAAAAGGGAGCTGCAAGAACAAATCGAAGGGGTACCCCAAAGGAAGCCGAAGTAAAGATAGTCAAGAACGCGATATAATGGATCAATTCCTCTCCGTGTTGCTCCTATTGAGGTACAACTGTTTCATTGTCTGCAACAGAGGTAAATCTGCATCGATTTTCGATCTACTCATCTGGGTTGAACAGGGGCTGTTGTGGTGCAAATCTAAAACTTCACTAACCCGACAGTCAACAACACGCTTAGCACAAACAGTCCGTTTGGAGCTGATATAGAATCTGAGAAAACTGACACAAATTCTTCTCCACTTCCTCCTTTTCCTTTCTCTTCCTCTTCTTCCTCCTCGCCTTTCTCCTTTTCCATCCCCTCTCTTCCACGGCCTCCTCTTCCTCCTTCATTCCTTCCTCTTACTTCTCCTCCCCCTCCTCCTCTGGCTCCTCCTCTTCCTCCTCCCCCTCCTCCCCCTCCTCACCATTCTCCTCCTACTCTCCCGCCTCCCTCTCCTCACTTCCCTGTGTACTTCGGTTCTTTTCCTTCGTCTTTCTTTGATCTTTCTTTGCAGAATCTTTCGCAGTCGGCTGGTGTTCAGGCCTGGCAAAAGCCAAGGACTCAAGCATGCCTCCTTTCGCGGCCTGAAGGCCAGTATCCACCTCTGTGTGAACAGGTGGCAAGCAATGCTTCATTGATGGCAAAGTGGACTAAGCTTCTTGATCCAAAGGTAGCCAGGAAACAGTCGGCCATTTCAATGTTGCTTGGCGATGCTAATGGACCACTTGGTGCCCCTCAGATTCCCTGCATCTACAAGTACTCGAACCCCGCACCATCATTCAAAGAATGGGAGTTCTGTCACAAACTGAGACCAGATGCGGGACTACCACTGAAAGAGAACTGTTCCAAGCGAATAAGGCATCGACGGTGGAGCATTGACGATCTTCCGGACTGGCCAGCAAGGCTAAACGCCCTCTCTGTAAGGGTTAACGAGATCCCAACCTTTTACTCTGCTGCAGCTCAGATCAGGGCTGATTTCATTTACTGGCAAAGAGCAGTGGAGCATTACTTCAAGGTGGACAAGCGCCTGCAGAATGAAATTCACAATGTCATGGACATGAATGCGAACTTCGGAGGGTGAGAGAAGCAGCAGGCATTCCCAAAGTCTTGCTTATAATACCCGTCATCAAACAATCCCCTTCACCCTCCCTATCCCTCTTCGTTAGCTCTCTCTCTCTCTCTCTCTCTATCTCTCTCTCTCTCTCTCTCTCTCTCTCCTGTCTCTTATACACATCTAGATGTGTATAAGAGACAGCTCTCTCTCTCTCTCTCTCTCTCTCTCTCTCTCTGTGTGTGTGTGTGCAGATTCTCCTCTCATTCCTTCACAGATCATCACAAGCCATCCATAACGAAAAAGTATAGATAGGCAATATAATAAAAAATGCAAAGTTGGCCACGTTTGTGTGGTTCAGCGCCAAGTGCCCACACACCCGTCTGCCGCCAAAGCGGCACACTTGCACATATACACATGTATACATATATATTTCAAACCATAAGGGGATGGAGGGCAGAAGGCAACTTACCTAAGACAGAAGACTACTCCAGCAAGAAGGCACAGACCCGACCCCCTCAAAGGTCCGAAAACACTTGGAGAGCCTTCGCATCGGCCCACAAAACCAAAAACTCATTTATCAAAAACAAACAAATATAACAGCATTTGCATTCCCCACATTCATCTCAAACTACACACTCGCGTCACTACCAAAGAAGAGGAAGATAAGACACAACTTGCCTAAGACAGAAGACTCCTCCAGCAAGAACGCACGGACCCCCCGCTGCTAAGGGTCCGAAAAAACTGGGAAAACCTTCCACGCCGGCCCACAAAACATACATTCCCCCAAAGAGAACTCGTGGCCACCCGGAAACATCCAAATAGCCCATGCTCTAAAGCAGGGCAAAGAATTAGGCCGTGTATAATCAACAAAACCAACAAGACATATCCAACCACTGTGTGTGTGTGTGTGTGTCTTACCCATGTGTGTGTGTGTGTGTGTGTATCTTACCCATTTACATCCGTTCTCTCTCTTCATGTCCATCTCCGTCCGCGCTCTCTCTTTGTATGCATCCTCATCTGCGCTGTCTCTTCATGTCAATCCTTTTCAACACGCACTCTTTATATCCATCTCATCTCAGTCAGCAGTCCCCCCAGCAGAAAGACTTCCTTCTTTTCATTATCTTTCTTTGCTGCTTTGTTTGCCTACTTACGGACGTGCCACTAGAGCGCAACTGCTTATCTACAAAAGTGCCACTTCAGCATCATGTGCTCAGCCCGTAATGTGGGACATCACCACAAGCAGAGTCCTGGCGAGTGGTGACTTAATTTTGGTAACTGTGTTAAACGTAAACGACCACTGCAACGGCCCCCGCACTGTTCCTTTTTCTTGTCTACAAGTACCGGGCCAAAGTCTACAGTGGCCCAGTAGAGGTTCAGTGGGGAGGGGCACCACAATTATTTTTCCTCACGGCGGCACTTCAGATTTTAGGCTTTTGGGGAAATGCAACTTTTGGTTTCTCACAATAGGTCCAGATGGAGTGGTGGTTTAAAACTTTGAATCTCAAATGATAGGAAGCCCTGATCATATATCCTCCAGAACCTAGCAGTGGCCTCGTACAGGGCCAACATGGGGGCAGTCGGGCAACACAATGGTGGTGCCCGGTCCTCACAGAAACGGACCTGCGCCCAGCCGCTACTGGGCCTCTACTGGGGCTGTAGTGACCCTCTCCATGGTCCCTGAAAATTCCAGCATGATAGGTTGTCGAAGCACTGTTGGCTTAATCCGGTACCCTTCCTCAGGAAGCTGGCCCTTTGCCTCGTACAGGGCCAACCTGTGGGGGCAATCGTGAAGGCTGACAGGGGCGCAGGTCCTCTCAGAAATGGACCCCCGCCCAGCCACTAGTGGGCCCCTTCCGGGGCTGTGCCGAACCTATCCATGGTCCCTGAAAATTCCAGTATGATAGGCTGTGGAAGTATTGTTGGCTTTCTCATCCAGTGCCACTACCCTTCCTCCAAAACTTGCAGCCATGCACAAGGAGACCATCGGCCTGCCTACGTCAGGCTTCGGGATGAAATATTGGCCTGCTGGCACTGGTGGTTTGACACATGTACATTTTGTCTGTTGTGTTAAGGATTAGGGCCAGGCCACATTGGTGCTATGTTCATGCGAACAAATCACGAACGTGACCATCATTTTGACCACGTTCATGCTTTCCAAGCAAGAACGTAGCACCACCAGAGCCTGACCCTTATTCTCTCTTGCAGAGTTTCTTTCCATTCATTGGTATCCCCTCAACTTGTGCATTCGCTATTGCTGGGTCATTCTAGCAACCACACACTGTGTCCTTACCCACACTAGCGGTCACTAGCCCCATGATCGCCTGCGGCGCACTTAGTGCGAACCGACTGTGATAGTCTGATTGATACCCCTGATCGGTATTAGTAGAGGTCTATGACCAACACGGGTGTGAGTGTGAGTGTGAGTGTGAGTGTGAGTGTGAGTGTGAGTGTGAGTGTGAGTGAGTTGTGTGTGGTGTGTGGGAGAGTGTTGGCCATAGCAGATGCTGCTACTCGATGGGGGGCGGGGGAAGTAGATGGGAGGTGCAGCTACTGGCAAAATGCTCGGTCTTTGGGTTAGCCGCCCCCCCCCCCCCAACACGGGCAACCCCACCCTATCCCCTGGCCACCGCCGATTAGGGCAAGGGGGGGCGGGGGGGGGCGTAGCAACATGCATCCCCGTAATTGTGAGGGGGAACTATGCTTGCAGGGCTCCCCTGTATAGGCTTAGGAGTAGTGGTAGGTAGATAGTGAAAAAGGAAATTGGAGAGAAGAATATAGCCTAGTGTTTGAAAAAGGGAGAAGAAAAAAGGGAGGAAGGGGAGGGGGGGGGGGGGGGGGGGGGGGGGAATCATCCCAAAGAGCTAAAAAAGGGGGCATTCTAGCAACCACAAACTGTGTCCCTATGCAGTGTATGCAGTACTATGCACATAACAGACATCACTAACATGAAAAATAAGAAAGAGCCTGAAAGACCTTAAGAAGGGGGGGGGTGCTTGCCAACGGCGATCTTGAAAAAGGGGTCAGTCAAGAGCTCATCCCGCTCAAATGCCTCCAGTTGCATTCGACACTTCATGCCCTGCTCCTTGCAAGCCCCTGGCGGTTTTCTTTAGCTATCTTCTCTCCTGTTTTCCTTGGCACATCAATCATACGGTCCCTATCACTGCCCTCCTTGCCCCTCCGCCTCTGTGTATCAGTGTGTGGCACCCTCGGTCCTCCGAGAGGTGGTTGTCTTCGCCGCCTCAGTGTGTGGCACCCTCGGACCTTTCCCATATACCCCCCCCTCCTCCGAGGCCTCCTTTTTCCTAGTGTAATTTTTTTTCTTTTTTTTGAAAATTTACCAAGACCCTAGGGTACCAGAGTGGCCCGGGATCACTTGCCCGGCCGGGCCAAAAAAAATAAAAAAGTAGGAAAATATATATTTTAATTTTAATTTTAATTGTTAATTTGGTAAAGAACTTTGATGTGACCCTGAGGCAAAAGTTGCTCAGTTTATTTTTCTGCATAGCATAGTTTGTTTTCGGGGTTTTTTTTTTTTTTTTTTTCCCTTTGATTTTTTTTTGTTGCTAGGGCCTTCCCTGGTCCTTGCACGGCCGGGCCGTCTGGGAAAATAGGGCGACCCGGGCGGCCCGGTTGGTAGCCTAGGACCCGAATATCCCAGTGTAATGGTTGTGGGCAAACTCCATCAAATGTAGTTTTCGCTCTTTAATTAAATTATTTTAATTAAACAATTTAAATTAAAAGGTGGCGCGCCGACAATTTTTTTAATTGCATAAACTTATTTTGCTTTCCGGTCAGAGCCTCCTCCACACCATCTCTTTTTCCGCCGAGTTATTAATCTGTCTGAGTGCGTGCTTGGTTGTGTATGTTGAATGGAAATTTGTGGTGTTCGCAGGTTCGCTGCAATTCTGAGCAACCACAGCTTGTGGGTTATGAATGTCGTTCCCACCACAGTGCCAAACACCTTGCCTGTCATCTTTGATCGCGGACTAATAGGGACGACTCATGACTGGTGAGTGGCATACACACCCTGCCGTTGGACATCCTTACGTTGCTGCCACACAAAGAGGGACAGTGTACGAGGCTGGGGACACGAACAGGGGTAGACACAGTGATATCGACACACAGGAGTCCACAGAGAGAGAGAGAGAGAGAGAGAGAG